TTCAGTTAAGCAAGGAAAAATGAGCCTTCAGTTAAAAAGAAAAGAAGAAAAAAGAAAGTCTAATATACCACTAATTATATATTCCATGAGGTAAAATCTATCTTTGTACAGTTCTTACTGTGATAAGCCATATACTGTTCTCTAGCATTTAATGAAATGTAGAAATGCTACAGGTATGAAATGGAAATGAAACAATAATAATTATAATATAGGTATGCCTTTGAAACATGCCTTCTATTTTAGTCTCTAAATACCAAAGGTACACAGCCGACTGACAGTTGAGGTTTTCGAAGCTTGACCTGTTAGGAACTCTTACTTTTGGGTGCAATGGAGAACAGTAATCTGAGCCAATGTTTCCCAGATTGTGGAGGTGATATTCTAACAAATGTGTAAGTGGAAGACCCTGTCTCTGGGCAGATTTACGTGGTGGGGCCCTGCAGGGTTTACTCACAGACTGAATATCACGCTGTAAGGAAGGGCACACAGTTGTTGAGCCTCCTTGTAGGATGTCTGCTATAGGATGTTGAGCCTCCTGCAGTAGGATGTCTGCTGACGAGCAAAGCAGCGTTGCCTCCTTCAGCTTYTCTCTCCAGCTGCACAGACGGACACACGTTCCTCCTAGAAAGAAACAGCTTATTATTCAAACTGAACTTTAGCATCTGGCATTAGGGGGTCTTGCAGTCACTCYGGCTATATACATCTAAACCGTAACAATATATCCTTTCCAGAGTGAAACAAGCAGTAGTGAAAATCCCTTTACTCCTAAGTAGCATGGACATTTSAAATCGTATAGCACATACAAGTACATTCATCCTGGCCTTTTTGGAATGGGAAAGATAAGCTGGAAGGTGTCTTGGATAAAGATGTGCTTTTTTTTTCTTTTTTCCCCTTTCTATTTATAGGTAATGCCACTTGCCACAGGGCTGGTGCACTCCACAGCCCGATATATTCTCCTTCACTCCTAGGCCTTTCTTTTACAGGCAGCAGTGGGCTGAGAAGGCAGGGGCAGCATTTCACTGGAAGGTGTCTGAGCCATTAGAGAGCTATCTAAATGACACTGGTCAGGCCAGCTGTGCATTTATTTGTCCTGATCACTGCAAACTGCCTGCTGTTGGCACTTGCTGTCTCTCTTTCCTGTTGCCCTTTCCATTTCATGGCATATTTCAGGAGATCCTCATACCAAACCAGGTGAAATGTAAGCAACTTCTCTCTTGTCAAAGCTGCAGGTTCAAAAATGATATTTTCATTTCCTCAGTGCTGAAGTCCCTGAAAAATACCCATGGCAGTGTCCTGGCAGGAAAAGTTATTCTGGGATTTCTTTTCCATTTTTTTCTTTTCCTTCTCTTTCAAAAATTGTTAGAAATTTCTACCACTGTGGTAGCCTTTTACTGTGGTATCCAGAAGGCTCTTGAATTCCTGTCCTACTGATTGCAGAGCAGAGAGTTTGCAATCTGATTTCATTCAGACCTGCAGTCATCCAGCCACAGACACACAAAAATCAGCAAGCGCTGATTATGCTTCAGCATCAGGAAAAGCTGCATGCACTGAAAAAATAATGTTGATTTTGCATCAGCATGTCCAAAGGAAGAAATACTTAGAATAATAGATCAAAGAGCAGAGCCTTTAAACATTTCCTCTACAGAAATATCTGACTTCCATGTATTACTTACAAGTTACTTCAGYACCCTAGGTGAGAAAAGCATCATTTTCTGGCAAAAAGGCCAGCTAGCATCAGGAGAGTCCATTTCTCTAGCTGGGGACATTCATCATGACTTAGCAAGCCACTTAATCTTGCTGCRTGCCTTGTTCCTATGACTTTAAAATGGGAACAAATAGCCTTTTGCTACTTCCTAGGGACGTGGGTCTCTAGGACACAAGATGCAACAACCTCCTCTCTACATGTAGGGCAGCCAGTGAGCGCCAGTGTGCTTACGTGTGGGGWGCTGAGCTGTCCCTTTCTCCATCGTCCCCTCCACGCACAGCAGCAGGCAGGCTGCACACAAGACGGCACCCAGGCAGGCTCAGCGCCCTGCACAGACCCTCTAATACCCCCTGGGTGCTTGCCAGATTAAGCCCTGCAGTCCCTGCTGCATCGAGGCTGTCTCCGCTGCGCTCTCAGCAATCAATAGGATGAGTGTAAACCTGCAGTGCTGTCTGCTGCCTCTGGGCTCTGTCCTAGTCTCACCTTGCTGGGCTCCAGTTTGGGCAAAGAGAGGTTTAAGGCAGAGCAAGCAGCTGCCCCCAGTCTAAGCTGGGAGGCTGCAGAGGAAACAAATCCGTGGGGGTTCAGCCAAGCGGCTGGGGCCGCTTGTGTGGGAGGGAGGTTGACACGCACCATGTCTGGCTTTGTTTGGGAGTTTTATGTGAGTCTTCTCTTAAAAGTCTCAATAGAGGTCAATGGGAAACTGAACACTAACTTAGGAGGAACCTGGGCCTCTGTGTGTGTGGGTGCTTGAATGTATAGGCTTATGAAACCAGAAACATAAAAGGGGTTCTCTACATTGTAGCCTTGAAGAATCTTTTAGTTTAAGGAATCTTTTAGTTTAAGGATGAGATTAACAGCAACAATGTAACAACTTAGAGGATGACAGTTACTGAATCACCTTAAGCTAGTTTTTCTTTATCTGCCCAGCTAGCATAATACAGGAACACTCCAGATACATTAGTGCATAAGCAACGCACGGCAAGAGCGCCTGGTCCTTGCCAAAGCTCCGTCTGTGGACTTTCCAGGAAGGGCCTTAGCCTGTTGTGCTCATTGTCACCGAAAACCRGGAATAAACCTCTTAACACCAATGTAGTATTAAGAAGCAGGCATTCACTTCACTGCAGCGCTGGATGCACGGAGGATAGCTCCACCTATCGTGCATGCCCTAGGGGGTGCTTGCTAAAACTTTTATTTTTCTATTATCTACATACRCATTAAATTCTAGGAAATGTTCCATTTCCTGGAACTAATTACAATATAACCCACCATAACACGCATAATTGAGGGACAGCACTGAACTATTACACAGGTTATGATTATAAGAATTATTAAAATCAAAACAGTTTGTAATAAAGATGATAACCATCCATGGAGAGAAATCTTTTCTATTTCTCCTAAAAGTTTATTTAACCACGCTGTTTCCATATCCTTTCTTWGGTCTTGGGCCTGTCGGGCCACCTTTTGAATTTGATCCATTTGCTTATWWWKGTCCTTGGTGACATTAGGAATATAAATACAACAGTGATCTGAATTTAACTTCAGATATCCACAAACTCCATGTTCTTYAGCTAGTAAAAGACCCAGGGTGAGGTGATTCTGAAGTGTCATCCTTGTATTTGCCTAGATCTGCTTGTTAAGCTGTGAAAACCCTTTCTCTGTTGCTTTGGCTAATGTTTCTACCTGCCATGTAAGATTTTCAAGTAGAAGTCTGTTTTCTAAAGCCATAAGCCCCGGCATTAGAAGACTCTGTAGACCCCAGCCAATTTTAACAGAAGTACTAGGTCCTTGCCAATCATCATCTTCATCCGTAAGTGCCCTTTTAATTTTTCCCCAATATTGGGGCTTAATAGGTGTTCTTTTCCAAGTTGGGCATAATGTAAGCAATCCTAAGGTTACTGGAACACTTACATTAGTGTATGACAGTCGCGTGGTCCATACCCCATCTCCAAGGACCCACACACTGTATCCAGGTGCTGGGATGCTGAGTTTATCACATTTTTGAAYTTCATCCTTACATATATATTGTGCTTTAAAAGCTTGTCTAACAGCAAAAGGCAGTATCTCATTTTCACACTGGGATTGGGTGATATTACATGTAACCTCTCTAGTGCAATTCCATCCTGGCTTGGTATAATTGTATCTACGTATATCTCCCCATCTGAAGCACCAATTAACTGGGGAGATATATCTCCAATTCCCTTGTAATCTCTTTGTCCAGGTTATAGGGCCTTTCCTCAAAAAGTTGCATTCTGGTAACTGTGACACACTAWGAGCAGTATGGTTATGTGTGACACACAAAGTTAGAAGCTCTGCTACTTCTTGTTCCCTTGCATGTTCAGCCACCCATTCAAGAAAAGGAGCTTCCAGTGGGTTTGAGCCTCTTGGGCAGGAGGAGCTCTCTTGATGCCCAAAAACAGTTCTGTTGTCTCCTTTCCTCCATAGTGTTGAATCCTGCAATACATCACTTCCTCTCTGCTTACATTTGTTCTCTTTATCCAGATAATAAGTTGCATTTGCTCTTCYTATGGCTTCTGTTATGTTGTCCAATTTTAGGAGATCCATCATACTTATTGATATTGTGCCCCAAGGCAGGGGATCTGCTGCTGAGTAAGGGATAGGGAGGCAGGCTGTAATACTTGAAAGCCTGTTCATTCTTCCAAATCCTTTCACTATGCTCATTACCATATTATTTTCCCAATTTATTGTTTCTGCTTCCCTCTTCTTTCTATAGAAGGGAGAGGAAGCCCTTTGAAGATGGTCGGAGAGATATGTGTAATGAGCATAATGCAGGGAATCTCCGGTATCATTCTGAGTCCAGTATATATATCTAGTGCAAATAGCTTCAATTCTTGGATGCCTCACCTTAATAGAAATGCAACACTCCTTTAGAGATTGGTGTTGGGCTGTACACTGCAATTCTCTTATTCCTTTAAAGTGAATTTTCAAATAATAATAATACTTATTATCTATCCTTCCATCAAAATTAAAGGAGAGATTCTCCCCTCCTGTGTGACAACAGCATTCCAGCTCCGATTCCTCTGACTACTGTATCTCAAACCCACTGCTTGCTCCCTTAAAGTCTTTACTTAATATGATTATACTAGAATGATTCCCACTGCTCACCCTTCTCCATTCTGCTGTTGTACGATTGAATTTAAAACTTAACAATCCCTTCAACCCAATTCTGCCCTTCCCCCATTCCCCATAATACAGTTAATGCTATTAAATTTAACAGTACGGCAGTTCCCTTTTCTGAAGATTTCATGGCTTCCCTAGATTTTCAGTTTTCAACCTTTCACAATATCACACACAAGGGGTCCTCAGTAGGCTCGCACTGGTATCCTGGGGCAGTTTTTATCCTTGTGTAATGGACCCACGGTTCAATACCCTCTACCTTTACTGCGATGTGGGTTGTCAAAAGCACTTGGTAAGGTCCTTTCCACTTCTCCTTCAGTGGTTCTGAGCTCCAGGCTTTCATGGAGACAAAATCTCCTGGTTTATAAGGATGCACCGGAGTATTGAGAGCGAGGGGTCCTGTCAGAACAACGTGCCGTCAAAGAGTCGCCAAAGTCTTTCCTAAAGAGATTAAGTACAGCTGCAAGTCTGTGTTACCCTTTACATGCATTTCTCCTGGGAGTTCTGGTGCCTGATAAGGCTTCCCATACAGTAACTCATATGGACTTATTTTATCTCTTGCATTAGGTTGGATCCTGATTCTCAGGAGGGCCAATGGTAAAGCTTGTGGCCACTTAAACGAAGTTTCCTGACATATTTTACTAATTTGCATTTTAAGAGTTTGATTCATCCTCTCCACCTTCCCACTTGACTGAGGTCTCCAAGGAGTATGTAAATCCCATTTAATCCCAAGAACCTTCCCAAGCTGTTGTACTATGTCAGCCACAAAATGAGGACCTCGGTCAGAGGATATCCCTATTGGAACACCAAAACTGTSTATGATTTCTTTCAGTAACACCTTAATTACCTCTCATGCCTTGTTGGTGCAACAAGGAAAGGCTTCCTGAAAAGGTGTCAATTATCACTAGGAGATACCTGTAGCCACTTTGTCTTGGCAGTTCTGAGAAATCAATCTGCCAGTAATCCCCAGGGGAATCGCCCTGCTTAATAATTCCTGGGGGAGGCCTCCTTCTATTTATTGGGTTATTTCTGAGGCATAGGGGGCACTTTGCAGTGACAGATTTTACAATTCCTGTCATTCCCACACTGACAACTGAATCTACTAAACTAGAAACCATAGCCTCACATCCCCAGTGAGTTTCTTTGTGTTTCCTTTCAACGATCTCAGTCATTATTGGCTGAGGGACAATAACTTGTTTTGTTGGGGTCACTAACCATCCTTCATTAGTCAATGTTGCATTTAGCGTAGCTGCTAATTTCTTATCTGCCTCACTATATTTAGGCCTTACCTCTGGGCGTTCAATTCTTTTTACCGGTACCAGAGCCAGGATGCCTTGTTCAGCAGCCTCCTTGGCAGCTTTATCAGCCAACCTACTTTCYACCTGTACCGCTGTCTGGCCAAATTGATGTGCTTTACAATGCATTATGGCCACCTCTCCTGGTCATTTTATGTCCTGTAAGAGCTGTAGGATTTCTTCCTTGTACTTGATAGGTGATCCTTGAGAAGATAATAGCCCTCTCTCCTTCCAGATAGCTCCACGAGCGTGGACCACTCCGAACGCATACTTGGAATCAGTCCATATATTTACCTTTTGGTCTTCAGCTGTTCTGAGAGCCTGGCTCAGAGCCACCAACTCTGCCTTTTGTGCTGATGTGTTGGCAGCAAGGGACTCTGCCTTTAACACTTGGGTAGTGGTAACTACTGTATATCCAGCAATCGGTCTTCCATCTCGTACAAAACTGCTGCCATCTGTAAACAACTCCAAATCAGGATTAGTTATTGGCTAATCCCTTAGATCTTGTCTGCTTGAATACACATGTTCAATAGTCTGCAGGCAGTCATGATATAGACGTTCAGAGTCTCTTAATTCAGAGTTCAAAAACATTGCGGGGTTAATTGCTGTGGTAGTTTTAAGCTCCACATCATCCTGTTCTAATAGGACCACCTGATATTTCAGCTTACGGCTGGGAGACAACCAATGGCCTCCTTTCTGTTCCAGAACAGATATTACCATATGCGGCACATAGACTGTGATCTTCTGTCCCATGGTCAGTTTTCTAGCTTCTTGAATCAAAAGGACAGTTGCGGCTACTGCCTGCAGACATCCTGGCCATCCTCTACTCACACTGTCCCACTGCTTGGAGAAGTAACCCACAGCCCTCCTCCATGCCCCAATTTCTGAGTTAGTACTCCCATAGCCAGGTGTTGCCGTTCGTGCACAAACGGCTCAACGGGCTTTGATAGATTCAGTAATCCAAGTGCTGGTGCTGACATTAAGGCCCTTTTCAAGTTGCTAAAGGCTGCTTGGCATTCAGGGGTCCACAACAGGTGGTTCTCTTTTGATTTCTTCAAGGTTTCGTAAAGGGGCCTTACCATCAATCCATAGTTAACGATCCACAGTCTACACCAGCCGACCATACCCAGGAATGCCCTCAGCTCTTGTGCAGTTCTTGGCTCCAAAGTTTGGCAGATGGCTTCTATTCTGTCGTTTCCCAGTCTTCATTGTCCTCGCGAAATCTCGAGACCTAAATAAATCACAGTTTTCTTTCCTATCTGGGCTTTACTTCTTAATGTGTGATATCCTCCTTGTCCCAAGAAATTTAACAGGCTTATGGTCATTTTTAGACATTCTTCCCGAGTTTCAGCTGCTAATAAAATGTCATCTACATACTGCAATATTGTTCCTTCTGGATTTTCCTTTTTCCACAACTCCAGCTCCTTTGCCAATTGATTACCAAATATTGTTGGGCTCTTCTTATACCCTTGAGGCAGCACGGTCCAGGTAAGTTGCATTTTACGTCCAGTAGTGGGACTCTCCCACTCAAAAGCAAATATTGCCTGACTATCCCTATCAAGGGGGATGCAGAAGAAGGCATCCTTTAAATCGAGCACAGTGAACCATCCATGGTCTCCTTTAAATTTGTTAGCAAGGTTAGCCACTACTGGGTGGATATCCTGTRCAATTTGATTTATTGCTCTTAAGTCTTGGACTAATCTATACTGCCCATTAGGTTTTCTCACTGGTAATATCGGTGTATTATATTCTGATTCGCATTCTATTAACAAACCATACTCCAGAAACTTACTTACTCTATTCTCTAGGCCCTTCCTTGCTTCCAATTTGAGGGGATATTGTTTTAGTCTTACCGGCTTAGTCCTTGGTTTCAGTGTAACCTTGACTGGGTCTGCCAGCTTGGACTGACCAGGAATTTCTTCCACCCATACCAGGGGGGTCACTGCGTTTTCTACTTCGACCGGGATCTTTTCCTCCTGCTTATCCTGTAACACAAAAGCACTCGCCTCCACGGCTTTTGATTCAAGTATCAATAACTGCACATCCCCATCTTTAAAAATAATTTTTGCCTCTAATTTGCTTAATAAATCCCTACCGAGCAAGGGCTTAGGACAATTGGGCAGGTAGAGAAATTGGTGAGTCATCCACTGTTTTCCTAACTTGAATTTTAAAGGTTTAAAAAAAGGTCGTATTTCCCTGTTCCCTGTGGCACCAACAATGCTTACAGAATCAGAGCTAAAGTTTCCTTTACAAGTGCTAAGTGCTAAGAATAGGTGGCTCCAGTATCTACCAAAAATTCTACATCTTCTTTCCCCAGTCTTAATGTAACCAGAGGTTCAGCTGGGGTTGAATCCCCTGGTTCCCATCAGTGATCTTCATCTAATTKGACTGCCTTTAGAGCAGGGTCCAATTTTCCTGCTTATGGACGATCATTTTTCCAGTGTCCGTTTTTCTTGCAGATGGCACATTGATCTTCTGCCCTTTAAAAGGAGTTGTTGCTTTTGTGCATCCTTCCTCTACTCATTCCTGGCTTGCTTCTGTTAATCACCCCCCCCCACACACACACACACACACACCCCTCTTCCTCTCAGAAAACTTCTTCCCAAGAGGATGTTTGTGCCTGAGCAAATGCAGCTGCCAAAATTGCAGCGTTATGCTTGTTCCATACTTTTCTGTTATTGTATACCTCATGTGAAATCCCTATTAACTGAGATGTTGACATTCCAAGCATACCATCCACTTTCCGAAGTATTTCTTATATCTGGTGTTGATTGTCCCCCAGATAATGCAGTAAAAGTTATCTTGTTAGCTTCATCTTCAGGATCTGTCTGCTCATTTTTCAGCAGTCTCATAAAACTGCTTAYAAAAAGCAGAGGGATCCTCAGCCTTACCCTGTACAACTTGATATAATTTTGCAACATGTCTAAACACTGCATGCTTTACTCCATGTAATATTAACTKCTGATACTGTTTAATCATCAACTTACACACCTCCGTATTTGATCCCAGTATTCTCGGGGGCAGTATAAAATGTTCCAGTCTGTCCCTAGTGTTTTATCTCTTATTTTCCTCTCAAGCTTTATCAAATACCATTTGATTTTCCTTGGGCGCAAGTAAAGTATTAAAGTAAAAAGCACTTTTAAGTAGCTGACTCCTTACAATTCATTAAAACTTCAGTTGAAAAAGGAACTTTTWYAYATAYA